CCGCCTCGCTTGCGCAGTTTTTATGAAGTTTTTTCAGAGAAAGCGTGTATTTTCGTTTTTTTTTTTTTCTCAAATCTAACCTAGTTTATGTATTTGAAATTTATATCTCCTTTTTACTTTAACAAGAGGTCGTTCCCTTATCCACAAGCTTTCCTTGGTTGCTGTGAGCGAATTTGCTTTTTACTCAATGATCAGCATAAAATTGACTGTGGGAGGTCCCTGAGCTCCTCGGTAATCGCATTTTCTACGTTACTCCAATATGGTCATTCATTCTTAGAAGGAATCATTTGCCAGAAATTGATCATGTAAGAGCTTCAGTGGTTGTTGTTTGAACTTTGTAAATAATTTCCGAGAAATTTTTTAGATATGGTTTACCAGTTAATTTTCAAGCGGCAGTCATTGAACCAAATAAGAATTCCAATAAGAAATTGAGAGCATGCCTGCATAATCTCTATCTGCACCTAGATGCTTCTGCTGCCGGCCCGATCGAAGTAAATTTTTGTTTTACGTTATATCAAGATGATTAAAGCAAGTTGTGTTTCTAGGATGTGTGTCTGGTGGTTCATTTTTTGTGCGCAGAAGTAAGCGGGATCGGGATAAGAAGGTGACCAAAGTGTGCTGTGTGTTATTTCATTAACGCTGTGCTAAAAACAGCAGATTTGGGGTAAGGAAGTAATTAAAGTGATCTGTGTGTGTGTGTGTTTGTGTGTGTATGTTTGTGTGTGTGTGTGTGTGTATGTTTGTGTGTGTGTGTATGTTTGTGTGTGTATGTGTGTGGAAAGTGTTTTTGGTTGATTGCCGAGTAGAAATAAACGAATGATTGAAGTAAATTGTGGATTTGAGGTGTTTAGCAGTGACTTTTTTACCTTTGAAAACACTGGCTTCAGGCCTTGTTAAGTGAATTGCTGTTTGGACTGACTTTCTGTTCAGAAATAAAGCAGTTTTTGATTAATCTGATTTTTTTTTTCTTTCGCAGGCAATTGAGGACAATCCAACGTTGTTGTCGCTGGGCATGCATGACTAT